CCCGAGCCAGTCGCGCCGCCTTCACCAGGAAGCTGCACGCTGGACGACTCATCCTTCTCGTGCGCCAGGACTGGCCCGATGGACTCGGCGTGCGTCTGGCGCTCGGAGCCCTCCTGCACCGCAGAACGCGTGTCCGGCGGCGTATCAGAGAAGCCTCCGAAGAAAACCGGAAGGGGCTTCACGACAAGACGGATGTGGGACTCGCCTTTGGAGTTCTTGTGCCCGTGGTCCACGATGCTAGCGCTGTCGATGTCCAGCTGCACCATGTGGAGCAAACTTATCATGAGGCTGTTCCGCATAGTCGGCTCCCAGACGGGGAACAGGCAGATCTGCATGATCAGCTTGTCGCTGTGGCTGCACATTTTGACAGCACCTTGGCGGCCATTCGCTAGCTCCTGGATGATCCAATGGAGCCTGGCTGCTGAGACCATGGCCGCGCGGGGGGCAAGGGGGGAGAACAGCGGCTCGCACGTGCAAGCGAAGGGCCCCTCCTCAGGCAGACGCCTGAACCACAGGGGTTCTCCTCCTCCTCCTCCTCCTCCTCCTCCTCCTCCTCCTCCTCCTCCTTTTCCTCCTCCTCCTCCTCCTCCTCCCCAGAAACCTCCCTCCTCCCTCCTCCCTCCTCCACCTCTCCTCCCTCCTCCCTCTTCCATCCCTCCGACCCCTCCATCCCATCAATCCCCCTCCCCTTACCCCTTCCCCCTCCATTGCCTCCTCCGACAAACCTCCGTCCCGCCTCTCCACCTCTCAGTCCCTTCTCATCCCTCTGCACTACCTCCTTCTCCCCCTCAGCATCAGCATCAGCATCATCACCACCATCATTATCACCATCCCCATCAACACCATCATCACCATCATCATCATCATCATCATCACCATCAGCATCATCATCATCATCATCAGCATCACCACCATCACCACCATCACCACCATCACCACCATCACCATCATCATCATCATCATCATCATCATAATCATCATCATCATCAGCATCATCATCATCAGCATCATCATCATCAGCAGCAGCATCAGCATCAGCATCAGCATCCTCATCCTCATCCTCACCCTTCTCCTCCTCCTCATCAGCATCAGCATCAGCATCAGCATCAGCATCATCATCATCATCATCAGCATCATCATCATCATCATCCTCATCCTCATCCTCATCCTCATCCTCATCCTCATCCTCATCCTCATCCGCATCAGCATCAGCATCAGCATCAGCATCAGCATCAGCATCAGCATCAGCATCATCCTCCTCCTCCTCCTCCTCATCCTCCTCCTCCTCCTCATCCTCCTCCTCCTCATCCTCCTTATCCTCATCCTCCTCCTCCTCATCATCCTCCTCATCATCCTCCTCCTCCTCCTCATCCTCCTCCCCTCACAGCGCGCCCCACCTGCAGGGACGCCTTGCCCACCTCGCTCCAGCTGAAGTCTCCCTGCAGCCGGTACGTCGTGGCGGGGCCTGGCTCCTCGGTGGGCGGGGCGGCCCCGCGGCGGCGTGGGCCCGTTGGCAGCGGGGCCCGTCGGCGGCAGGGCCCGTCGGCGGCAGGGACCCCGGCGGAGGCCCGTGGAGAGGTCCTTCGGCCATCTTGGGCCATCTTTGCAGCCCATTGGGCTGTCTTGGACCATCATGACCCGTCATGGTGCCAGTTTGGCACCGTCGTGTGGCAGTGTTGCGGCCTTCCTGGGGCCTGGTGCGCGTCGGCCCGCGCTCTTGGGGGGGGCGTCCGCCACTGGGTGATCCTTCGTGGGGGCCTCTGTGAACCTCCGCGGCCCCATCATGCACGCGGCGCGGCTTCGACCGAAGTTGTCGCTCAGACTTCGACCAACCCTCCCCACCCGTTCGTCCAAATGTCGTCCAAACGCCGAGCAAAAAATCTGACGGAATCCTTGCGACAGCACCCGGACCACAGGGCATCTGGAGACCCTCTGAGGCTCCCGCGGAGGATCACGCGGCGGACGTGCTGCCCGGAAGCCTCGGCACCGTAACCTCGGAGGCGCTCGCGCGACCGGGCACCCCCCCCGGGGAGGCCTCGCGCGCGTGGGGCTGTACCGCGACAGGGGCCTGAGGACCGATTGGCTCGAAGCTGTTTGGGCGCTTCGGCCTTCCTTGGATGCTCCGTCACTATCAGGGAGTGGTTGGATCACGTGCAGGTCTTGCCCTGTGAGTCCCTCTCGCCGCTCAAGGATGCTCACGGCCGTGCGCATGCTGGGTATCAAGGTGGTGGAAAAGAGTTGGGCCAGGAGATCGTCCTCACTTTCGTGAACGGTAGCTTCTGCGTCATATCTGTTGCCTATCTCAACATCTCTCGCTCTCTCTCTGGGGGCCTTCCTGGAGCCACTCGATCCACCTGAGCGTGAATGGTGCGTCGAACGTTGAGTCGAACCTGAGTCGAGCTTGAGTCGAGCTAGAGCCGAACCAGAATCTAACTTGGGTCGGACAGGAGCGTTAGGTGGGCCCCAGGAGGCTGCCCCAAACGAGCATCTGATCCTTCCTTTGGACATCCGAAGCCTGGCAGGGGCTCGAAATGTGCACCAAGTGGTCCCGTCGGCCAGGCAGCTCGGTGTATAGACGCCCCGATCTGGGGCCACCTGGTCAGGGAGGCATGTGCTCCGCTTCTGGGCCAAAGACGGGCCTGGCGGGTAGCGGCGGGTATGTATAGTGTACAGAGTTCGCCCAATATGCGAGGCCGAAGCTCGGGGGAGGACTGCAGACGAGACAACTGGCGTGGTGGAATGCAACCACAAAACGTTCGAGAATATTCTCAAAACACATGTTGGAAACATGAATCTCCAGTTTCAACATCAAGCCGGTTCCCGCTAGGTAGGACGGAAATCACCTCAGGGCTTTTTCCAGGGGTTGAGATTCAGCGCTCCCAGAACGAATTGTCAACTATCCTGCAATCTTGCAAAACCCGATCCTGGGTCACCACATTGTCCGTCCTGGTAGGGTCGGCCAACTAGCTCAACCCTGCGCCCGAGTTCTTCTAGCTCAAATTTTACGTTGAGCTCTAATTACCTGGTGCGAATCACTCCGCTCAAACTCGGCCCCCTGAACCTTAGTGGGACCTGAAAACAGCAAGGCCGTTTTGTTACCAATTGCTTTCTTTGCCGCCCGTTCCCGTGCCGTTCTGTTGCCGGCTCCGTCGCCGATGTTTTTCCGGCTCCGGCCCCCGTTCCGATCCTGGAGCTTTTTTGTTGCCGTTACCGTTTTTTGCCGTTTCCATTTTCCAGAGACACTTGTTCGGAAACGACGAAAGGACGGCCCTGCCGTTTCTGGGGCCAACCAAGCCCTGGACATTCTTGAAGGGGCCCCAGGACACACAAATAAATACACACAAATAAAAAGATTCACCATATTTTCCCATATTTCCTGGGTTTGTGTCTTCCCCCCCACTTCCCATATTTTCCTAAATTTTCTTCGGAGTCGACAGTTAATTGTGTCTGTGTGTTTTTTCATCTCCTGATGTTCGGAAACTGTGAAAGGACGGCCCTGCCGTTTCTGGGGCCCGCCAAGCCCTGGGCATCCCGACCCGTCGTTCGAGGCGGAGCCAGCCATCCAGACGTGACGACGAGAGGCCATCCAGGAGGCCCAGACAGCTCCGCTCGTCCCAAATACGTCCTCGGCGTGTTTTGTTGTTACTGTTTTTACCTCGGCGTTTCGGATATCAGTGTTTAGCGTGTTCGGTTTAGAAAGAAAAGATAGCAATTCTGTTTGCGTGTCCAGTGATGTTTTCTGGGGCGGTTTCAAATCAAGCGAATGCTTTGTTAATATTACCGTCTACGACGTCCTCAGTTCCTTCACCTTGCGTCGAGTCCTGCCCCCCAAAAAAACATGTGTTTGTTTGTTTTCCTTTGCCCTTCTCCGGCCGTCTCTGCTGGCTGGTCCCTTGCTCTCTGGGCCTGTTTCGCGCCAGTGTTCGAGTGGTGTTCGGGCGTGTTGTTGCTGCTGCTGTTGTTGTTGATGATGCTGCGTTTTTATCTCTGCGCGCGGAACGGGAAGAACGGTGGGCAGCAGGAACGGAAGAGCAGGAGCGAAGACAGCAGGGAAGACAAGGAGCAACCTTCGACAAAAAAACTACAACGGGAATGCGAAAAACGCTACAAAACGACCAGGAAAGCGCGGGAACAGAAATAACGTACCGTTTCTGCTTAGCCTTTGTGGCATGGCAAGAGCTCTGACTACAAAGCGTGTGCTACACCCGCGCGTGCACCTTTAGATGCACACGACTTATGCGCAAGTCGTGGCTCGAGTCAAGAGATCGCTCCCAGGACGAACCACGGCGAACCGGGCGAGAAACACCCGGGAGCGCCGCCGCTGCCCACATGCGGCGCCGCGGGCCCGCTGGCGAGGAGGAGGAGGAGGAGGAGGAGGAGGAGGGAGACGGAGTGGGAGGGTGGAGGAGGGAGGATGGAGGAGGAGGAGGAGGAGGAGGAGGAGGAGGAGGAGGAGGAGGAGGAGGAGGAGGAGGAGGAGGAGGAGGAGGAGGAGGAGGAGGAGGAGGAGGAGGAGGAGGAGGAGGAGGAGGAGGAGGAGGGCAGCAGAGGCCGCCCCTCCCGCCCCCGCCGAGGGCAGCCGAGGCCCCGCCCTCGGCGCCCACCCCGGCAGGGGGCAGCCGGCCTGCGGGTGTGCGGGCTCGAGGTGCCGCGGCGGCACCCCCGCGGGCCCGCGAGCGCAGGACCGCTGGCCCTCGATGAAGGGGCCCTGGGACACACAAATAAATACACACAAATAAAAGGATTCCCCACGGTTTCTTACATTTTCTGGGTTTTTCTCTTCCCCCCCACTTCCCATAGTTACCCATGTTTTCCTGGGAGTGGACGATTAATTGTGTCTGTGTGCTTTTTCCCCTCCTGACTCGAGGCGGTTGGCCAAGACGAAGCCAGGACCTCGACAAAAAAAATCGGGCGAGGACGGATCGAGAATCTCGGAGATCGAGCGGCTCTGCAGGAAGTCTCGGGCGCCGCGGCCTCCTCACGGGCGTTCCGGACCGCCCCGAGAGCGCTCCGGGGAACGCTCCGGGACGGACTCACCCTGGCCCCGTAGCCCCGTCCGACGGCGGCACCCCCGCGGGCTCGCGAGCGAGGGGGGCCACGGGCCCTTCGAGGCAGTTGGCGCTCCTCCTCCTCTTCCTCCTCCTCCTCCTCCTCCTCCTCCTCCTCCTGGAGGGGGCCACGGGCCCTTCGGGCCCTCCGCCTCGCCCCCGTGCCACCTTCTCCCCGTTGACACGCGAGCGAGCCTTCGGACGAGGAGCGACATCCGCAGTCACCCTTCTCCTCGAGCGTCAGAACCTCGCTACACGTAGAAGGCCGTACCTGTGCCGATGTAGTGCGCTGGTCAGCTAAAGCATCAGCCGCTCGATTGGCATAAACATGCTCAGCAACTGGGCCGTGGCAAATGTTGCGAAACGTATCTTCATGTTCGAGGGGCGCAGGGCGGAGTTGACTAGTACTTCCTGTCGAAGGCCGTACAGAGTGAGACTCCGTGCGACAACTCCCACCGCAGGTCTGCATTCGCAAGGCGCTGCGTGTGGTGCCTACCCTGGTTAGGGGAACGAGCAATGACATAAACATAAAAAAAACTCGGAGGTACGCGCGGATTTCTCGGATCGGCGCTGGACCCCCCTGAGGGCGCCTCCGGCGCCGCCCCTGGCGCGCCGGGGGGTCCAGCGCCGATCCGAGAAATCCGCGCGTACCTCCGAGTTTGTATGTTCATATCATTGTTCGTTCTCCTGCTGGTGGTAAGCATTGGCACGGTTGCACGGCGCCGGCCTCACATCTACCGAGAAGGCCCGCGCCTTCTGAGAAGCAGGGGTGCTTCTAAGAAGCCTTCGCTCCCTCGCCTGACCCACCTCTGCGCGTGGCCAAGTGGTGCCCACCCTGGTGGTGGGCCTTGGCATGGCTGATATGCTCAAGTCGGACCTGTCCCCCTACAGGGGGATGTTCGACGAAAAATAAAAAATACCCCAACAATAATCAACAAAATCAGCCCAAAATAGTCAGGGGCCTATTTTGGGGGGATTTTCTTTGACCTTTTTGGAGCATTTCTGGGGTATTTTTGATTTTTCGTCGAAAACCCCCTGTAGGGGGACGGGCCCGACTTAATGGTAGGCCTTGGCATGGCTGATATGCTCACGTGCCGAGGTCAGGTCGTCACCCCCGGACGCGTGGCGAGCAGCCTCGACCAGTCCAGGGAGTGGGCTCGGCCCTCGGGCCCGCCTGCCTCTTCTGCAGGGGCACGCGGAGGAGCAACGAGTCGGAGGAGGGGGAGGAGCGACGAGGGAGAGGGAGGAGGAGGAGGAGGAGGAGGAGGAGGAGGAGGAGGAGGAGGGAGGAGGAGAGGAGGAGGATGAGGGGGAGGAGGAGCAGGAGGAGGAGGAGGAGGAGAGGGAGAGGAGGATCGACAGGGAGAGGGAGGATGAGAGGGGAGGAGAGGAGGGGATGAGGGGGGAGGAGGAGGAGGAGAGGAGGGGGGGAGGGATGGGAGGAGGAGGAGGAGGAGGAGGGAGAGAGGATGAGGAGGAGGAGAAGGCGGAGGAGGAGGAGGAGGAGGAGGAGGAGGAGGAGGAGAGGAGAGGAGGAGGAGGAGAGGGAGGAGGAGGGGGCGAAGGAGGAGGAGGGCCCCGCGCGGACCCCCATCGCGCAGAGGTGCCGCGGGGGGCGGGGCGGGGCGGGGCGGTCCACGGAGGGCTCCACGGGGGCCGCCGCGTCGAGCAGGGCTGGCGCGCCCTTGCGCGCGAACGCGCGGGCGCGGCGGCGGAGAGGGGGAGCCACTGCGGGGGAACTGTCTCGGGAGAGGGGAACATTTGTTCACGACGCGAGGGGGTCAGGGCTTGAGCGTCAAACACAGATCCCTGGACTTGTCCTGGGGCGCACTCCAGCCAGAACTTCGAGGCGGGTCCAGCATCTGGCCGCGGCGACGAGGGGCCCCGTAGGGGCCCCCCTAGAGGGGGAACAGGAGTCAAAGAGTCCAAGCTCGAACCTTCGGCGGTGGACAAATCTCCCTTTAGTAAACCACCCTTCAGCGAAAACTGACTAAGACCGAAACCAGCGGACCTGGACCCACAAAGATGACGGCCGCGGCGCCCTCTCGCGAACCGAGAACGGCCAATTCCTGAATCGACGTGTCAAGGTAGGAGGCCTGTCCGCACCCGAGTCTCGGGAGAGGGGAACATTGACGTTCGCCACGCCCGAAGTGGGTACGGAGCAGGATGGTGCGAGACGCCATCGCACTTGCTTTTTCTACTCCGGCATCGGCTGCTGGGTGGTCGGGCGACGCTCTGGCTCAAAATGGGAGCCATCCGCGGAGACGCCGACAGCGAGTCCTGCCCCAAAGGAATGGGAACTGCTGTCGGCCTTCGCCACCATGCTTTCCGTACATGTTTCCATCCTCCTGAGCGGGGTGGGGCCCCAAGACCCCACGTTCCTGGGCGCGGTGGGGTCCCAGGACCCCTATCGGCTATGAGTAGGCGACCCGAAGCAAACCACTGCATCAAAATTAAGCATCAACTTTCGGAATTCCGCTCGTACATCCGAAGAACTTCTTCTTTGCCGTGCTTTCTCCTCTGAGATTCTACCTCAAACGTCATGCTACTCTCACGACGTTGAACCTCAGAAGTCTGGACCCCATCCCCGACGCCGGTTCCTCATCCCGGTACGGAAAAATTGGAGACGACGCCCAACAAATGTTGCCCTAAACGGACAGTGGCCGCTGTTGGGCAGGCGGCCTTCTGTCTCAGATAAACAGTGCCGCGGCGACGCCGACAGCGCACCCTGCTCGAACGGAACAGGATCTGCTGCCGGTCTTCTTGCCCACTCTTTTTGTGCCCGTTTCGATCGTGCCGAATTCTGCGGCGACGGCGACGGCGACGGCGACGGCGACAACGACGGCGACGGCGACGACGACGGCGACGGCGACGACGACAACGACGACGACGACGGCGAAGACGACCACGACGACGAGGACGACGGAGACGACGACGTCAACGGCGACGGCGATGACGACAACGACGACCGCCAGCCGCCAGCGCGCCACGGCGGCGGCGCTCGCGGGTCGCTGCCCGTCCTGCGGCCTCTCCAGCGCGAAGCGCCAGGCTTGCCACGTGTTTGGTACGGCATGCTCTCGTCGTGTCGACCTCGGCGCTGGTTCCCGACACCACTGGGATCGTTCAAGCTTGACCGATCGGCCGATTCAGAAGTTTTGGGTTGATCAACGATGGGCCGATTCTGGGCCACGGGCGGCGTTCATCATTGAACGTCGGCGGCGGGGTCGCCGCCAGTCGACACGGCGCGCGCGAACCTACTGTATGGCTTTTGGGTGGCGCACACGACAGCCCCGCAAGGTAGTCCTGGCAAGTACCTCGACAGGCCCCCCGAGTAGTCCCAGCCGGCCTCGGCAGGGCCCCCGAGCGTGTCGGGACAGAGTCTGACGTCTTTTCGGCCCAAAGTTTATCGAAAAGGCGGACGACGATGACGTCGACGACGACGTCGATCAGGATGGGGAGGAGGACGGGGAGGAATTCGAGTAGTACGAGGACGAAGTGTGGGTATTCGAATGCGTGCGGGGCTACGACCGATTTATGCTCGCCGTTTGGGCTGGCGGTGGGGCCCCAGCGGCGAACTGTCGTGTGATGTTTGAATGTTTCGGAACAACGGCCGTTACCAACCTCGACCCCCCTTCTCCAGGTAACGTCACGGCTCGTGCTGATGTCCGAACTGTTTTTGGTTAGTCCTGGACATTCCCAAACGGCACCCTGCTTGGGAACCTCTCCCGGTGCTCGATGAGAGCCTTCTCTGCCTCCTCTATATTCTCTTCTTCGCCCTCGGTCTACACATGTATTCTCATGCGCACCTGTCGGAAAGAGCAGAGCTCCGAGGCGATTCATTGTCGCCGTACTTTTGTTTCTAAGTGTCTCGCACGGGATATCATCAACCATCTGAACATCCGACGCACCCCGCACGCAGATCGCGATGCCACGGTGCACACACACAGCCGTTTACACACATGCTCACATAAAGCCTGCAATCTAATCAAGGATATCAATCATGCCGCTCATGATTCTTAACCACACGGCGATTCCGTCTGAGACATCTTCGCAACATCGAGTCCCGACGTACAGCACGCATAGAACACACATACACACATGCACGCACGCACGCGCACGTACAGAACACACACACCAGATCACAGAACACATGCACACACCATACACACAACACGCAACGCGCACACACAATACATCCCACACAGCACGCACCCCTCCCCCCCCCCCACACACACACACACAGACACACAGACACACACACACACACACACACACACGCACACACGCACACACGCACACACGCACACACGCACACACGCACACACGCGCACACGCACACGCACACGCACACACACACACACACACGCACACACACGCACACGCACACACACACACAACCCACACAGAACACATACCACATCACTTCCGCACACAGCAATCACTCATCCATAAAAATAAAAACACATATATATATATATACACACATCGAACACACCGACCACACCCAAAACACTAACAAGACACCCACATACACGCACACATCACATCATACACAACACGCAACACACGCAACAAAAACAACGCATAACACACGACACACAACGCACACACACCTATCACATAGACAGAACACACACATAACACGCATACCACACATACATCACACACAACACACAATACACATACGAATGCCCGCACGTCACCCGTCACACGTACACACACACACACACGTCACATGCGTCACACAATACGCATACACATCTTGCATATTTGTTGAGTGAGCCTGGGCCTGTAGGTACATGTATATTATATCAATATACACAACCCAATCCTTGTGGTTCTCAATGTGTTATCCTCGGCATCCTCCTGATCCTCTTCGATCTATTCCGTAAATATGACCCTCATCCTCCTCGACCTCCCCCCATGACCTCATCCTCATCCACATGATCAACATCATCCTCCGACACCGGCAACGATTCAGCAGAAGGACGCCAAGCACGCCGGTTCAGGGTCTGCTGGCTGGTCGGGCAATCTCCCAAGCCTGTTCCTCCTCCTCCTGTGGGGTGGACGGGTGCGGGGGGGGGGGGCAGCAGACAAGCTGGACGCGTGTGGTTTGGCACCCCCCCCAGGAAAAACAAAAAAGAGAAAAAGAAAAACAAAAAGGCGCGCTCGCGGGACACGAACACGGCTGTGCGCCACTAGTGTTGTATGGCAGGGGACCCACCTGCCTACCCGAGCGGCAAGGGGGAGATTGGGTGAGGGGGGGGGGGACGCCTTGGGCGTCTGGTGGGACAGCGACGGCACCTTTGGCGCTTCCGGCAGCCTGGCGCGCCACGACACGCGAGATAGAAGGCAAGATGGAGAGAGAGAGAGAGAGAGAATGCTCAATGGCGCGGAAGCTGCAATTGAGGTGAGCGAGGGCTCTGGCAAACTTCGAAACAGAATCATTACCTTGACAATTGGTCACGGGTTCGCGTCGAGCGATTCCCACCGATGATACTCAGCGTATGAAGGTGTATAATTGTTGGTCTCTGACATTGCTCTTACTGATGTATGCTCTTGATGCTCCATGAAGCGGTTGTTGCTTCGGTTGTTTTTTGTTGTCATGCTCGGCGTGACGCCGCGAAGCACACTCTATCTGCGCAGACATGTAAATAACTTAACTTACGAGGCATACTGTAATGCTGGTAGTTGCTGCATGTGCTGTTCATCGGACCAACGCAAACCCTGACGTCGTGACGGCTGCGGTGCCCGAACCGTCGTGGAACACGCATGTCACTTGCAATGTTTTCAGAACCTTGGTGATACATCATAGACCCAATACTTGACATCTGAAGTACACAACTCAAACTCCTGGTCCGCATGACAGAACTCGCGGGCAACACGTAATGCCTCGCGCCAACCTCGCACACTATCGCAACACTGCGGGGCAAACGGGCGACCCGAATGCACATGCACCTTATCATCCACCTTTTCATGCCGCCCCACTTGCTACATCATAGGGGAACAACAAGTGGCATAAACATAACAACTCGGAGGTCCGCGCGGATTTCTCGGATCGGCGCTGGACCCTCCTCCCTGGCGCGCGGAGCGCGCCAGGGGCGGCGCCGAAGGCGCCGCCGGGGGGCCCCAGCGCCGATCCGAGAAATCTGCGCGGACCTCGGAATTTTTATGTTTATGCCACTTTTAGAGCAGCTCCACAGGTGCGGGAACGCTGCGCGCGTTCTCCGCGAAATGTCGGGGCACGAGGGTCTGAAAGCTGGGTGCCTGAGCTGGCTCCAGCTTTCGCGGAAGAGCCAGGGAAGTGGATGAATCTTAGAATCTAAGTGAACTTTGTGTTCCCCTACGTCAGTGCTACCCGTGCGTCGTATCCAAGCAACGATTCCCCACAGGTGGAGCTGCTTGAGGAACGTCTCCAGGCGCCGGCACGACGGGAGAGCCATCACCTGAGCGCGAGGTACCCCGCCCTGCTCCCTGCCGTGCCCACAGCTGCCCTCACCTGGTGTGCAGTGGCTGCCACCTCTCGATAACGTACTGGAACCGCGGCGAGGCTGTCATCGTATGCTGTTAGATTCGCCGGTGGACAAACCTCCCTTTAGTAAACCTCCCTTTAGTGAAAACGGCCTAGGACCGAAACCGACGGACCTGGACCCACAAAAATGACGGCTGCGACGCCCTCTCGCGAACCGAAAACGGCAAATTCGCTGATCGACGTGTCAGGGTAGGAGGTCTATCCACCTCCGATAGATCAGTGGTCGCCGACGGGGAACCCTGCATTAGAGCAGTACGCGGCTGAATCGCACCGCCAACCGGGGACGCCACGCGCGTTGGCATTCCACGGGCGCGTCCGCGCAACGCTCCAGCAAGCACAACCGCGACGCACGCTGCAGCAGCTGCACAAGGTCGATACGGCTGTGCCTTTTAAGCCCGCACGTGGCCGAACTGGTTCAGGAGCCTCATTCCTGGAAATGAAGCTCGCATTCGCGCCAAATGCTGAGGCTATGCGCCAATCATGCTGCCACTGAGCCTCCTCCTCCTCCTCCTCCTCCTCCTCCTTACGGTCCTCTCATCGATCTCCTCCAGCTCGCTTTTCTCTTCCCCCCCCTGTCCTTCACCCTGCCTCCTGCACCTCGATGTCCTGCGCCCTGTCCACCTCTTCCTCGTCCTGCCAACCCTCCATCTTACCAGCCGAGCATGTTCACGACCTCTACAGAAGCGCCTGGTCCCGAGGCGAAAACGATGCCACGCGGCGCGGGCTGAGAGCAGCTCAGCGCTGCCGTGCCCGTCTGGCGCCTCCGGGGGAGAGCGATGTGTCGCACACCTCCTGGCGAATGCCCCCCCCCCTGGTTGCCGCGGTGCAGGATGACGGTCCAGAAAAGCAATGCGGGGGCGATACAGAAAGCACCATCCGCTGCCGCTGGGAAAGCCTTCGACCAAGGGATCTCCATGACGACGCACACGCCCGCGAGCAGGCCTGGAGCCCTCCCGACTCCCCACTCCCTCTGGCCACCCTCCCTCGTCCTCTCCCCCCCCTTGCCGCAGGGCAGGTTCGCGTCGTCCCGACCCCGGGCATTGGCCCCTGACACCGCGGGAGGCGTTCAGTCTTGAACGATCGGCAGTTTGCCAAACGTCCGATCGTTCAGCATCGACCGATTTCGGGTCGCTGGCGGCATCCAGCCTTGAACGCCCGCGCTGGGGTCGCCGCTGGTCGACACGACGCGCACCCACAGTATCCGTCGCCCTCCTCCTCCTCCTCCTCCCTCACCCTCCTCCTCCTCTTCGTCTTCCCTCTTGCCTCCTCCCCCGAGCTCCCCTTGCGACACGCTCGGCGCCCGACACGCTCGGCGCCCAGGCCGCCCATCCGGCCGCCGAGTGGGCCCGATCGAGCAGAGATGGGGGCAGGGAGCTGACCGGAGGGTGGAGGAGGTGGACAGAGGGTGAGGACGGAGGATGGACCATGGGGGCCAGAGTGGGGGGGGGATCGGGGAGTGCGAAGACGGTAAGGATCCCGGGGGCACGACGGGGAGGACGACGGTGAGAGAGTTGGAGGAGGGTGAGATGAGAGGAGTAGACGATCGAGATGGATAACTAGGATCATCCAACGGAGAGGTACTCAGCCATCCCCCGGGGCGCGTGCGCTGACGGGGGGGCAGCACAGGGAACGACTTGAAAGAGAAAGAGAGGCCACGACGTCTGGGAGACATCATGGCACCGGCCATGACGTCCACCCCCTACTGGTCCTGAACACCCTCCTGGCCGCCCGCGAGAAGAGGATGTTGAGATGGAGAACGGGGCTGATGGAGGACAATCAGGGCGGAGACTGCAACATCGAATCATGATACAGCGACGAAGACGGGAGGGAGGAGAACGAGGAGGATGATGCTGAAGGAAGATGAGGGAAAGGAAGGGAGGAAGGAGGATAATCTTATGACTACGCAGTTCTTGGGAGGGCTTCCCCCCCCCGCGGCGGCGCGGGCGCGACCAGCGACGGCACCAGGCTGAAGACCACGCCGATGGCCCCCTCCCAAAGTCCCCCACTTGCATCTGGTCGCCGACGCGACGGCGAAAGAAAGGTAGGCTGGGCAATCGTCGTCTTCGTCCTCCGGCCCTCCTTCTCCTTCATGCTCCCTCCAACTCCCTCGTCGTCGTCCTCCTCCTCCTCGCCATGGTCTCTGAATCCTCTTGGGGGGCGCAATGTTGCGAAGCGTGATGCTTGACCGACCTCCTCCTCGCCATGGTCTCCGAATCCTCTTGGGGGCGCAAGTTTGCGAACCGTGCTGCTTGACGGATGCCGCGTTTTCTTCGTGCTGGCTCTTGCCTTTGCATCTGATCTCTCCCGTCCTGCCTCTCTTCTACTGGGCATCGCTCGGACGTCCACTCCGTGTTTTTTATCGCTTTCGTGCGTGGCTGTTTCGCCAAATGATCAAGGATGCTCCTCGATGTTTCGATGTTCCTCGCCGCAGGAAAAATGCACACGTCCGAGCGATGCCAAGTCTACTGTCCACCCATCCGTCCAGGGGAGAGGGGGGCCCTCGGCCACCTTGAGGGGAGGTCCCGGTTCTCTCAGCCTGCTGACCGCTCCAAGCTGCCCCAAAACACTTTCCGCGGGGACGCCACCAGACGGCCCCGGCGGGCCCCCATGGAGGCCTCAAGGGCAGCCCCGAGAAGGCCCCGAAGAGAGAGCGAGAGCCGCGAGAGGCCAAGGCGGTCGGAGATGCCCACGAGATACCTCCGAGGACCCCAGGGCGCTCCCGTGAAGGCAACAGATCATGGAACAGCCATGTATTTCCCAACCCGACAGGCTAGGACCTCTTCTTCGAGGGGGGGGGGAACGAATTCAGGCTAGGGTTATGTCGGGCGTGTCCCCCTACAGGGGGATTTTCGACGAAAAATTAAAAACACTTCAAAAATACTCCAAAAAGGTCAAAAATATTCAAACAATAGTCCCCAGACTGTTTTTGGACTATTGTTTGACTATTTTTGGGGTATTCTTCATCTTTCGTCTATAATGCCACTGTAGGGGGACAGGCCTGACCTAAGGCTAGGGGAAAAAAAACGAATTCCAAAACATGGATCGGCTATACGCAAGAGTGACCCTGGGTAAGAGTGACCTTTGGTGCGCGGCATCAGGGGGGCGCGGGGGAGCCAAACCAAAGCGCGCAAGCCCCTTACATCGCAGCGCGTTCGGCGATTGGGGGACCCATTTGGGCCCGCACTAAAGGTCACTCCGGCGACAGGTCACTCTTACGTCTAGCCGAATGGAAGGCTCCCGACTTTCCTTTGCATACCCTGCGCACTGCGGCAGCCAAACCCGAAACGTGCAACTGCTCCCTGGGTATCCCGCCTCGTGCCTTCGACGACGGAAGCATGCGTACTGCGGCCGCCGGGCCGAGAATGCCGGTGCTCCCTGGATATAGTTGAGCAGGGACCGACCGTCCCGGCATTTCTGTAGTCCTGCCACGAAATGTTCTTAGAACCCAGAAATGTTCTAAAAACAAGAACAATGTTCTTAGAACCTTAAGCCCGATGTGTTAAAACAAGACAGACTCCGGCAGAAATGTTCTCAGAACATTTCGTGGAAACCACACAAGGTTCTTAGACCATTGTTTGGTGGGGCTATAGGCGAGCCAGGACGCTTCGCCACTGCTTGACATAGTGCCTCGCGTTCTTCTGTGGCATCGCTCGAAGCAGAACGATCGTTACCCGTCCCACACTTTGCCCCCACGATGTCATGAGATCGGTTCAAGACTGCCCCCGAAGCCCCGGACATCGCCCAAAGCGTCCCCATCAAGGCCACGAAGTGATCCCAAGATGCCCAAAATAGGGGCCTCAGGGACCCGTAAAGAAGCCCCAACCTTCCCGAATATTGCCCAGAGGTGCCCAAAGACCTTCTGAAAGGCTCCTGGAGGGCCCCAGAACTGTTCCAGTATTCGGCGGTGGACAGACCTCCCTTTAGTAAACCTCCCCTTAGTGAAAACGACCTGGGACCGAAAACGACGGACCTGGACCCGCAAAAATGACGGCCGTGACGCCCTCTCGCGAACCGAACACGGCCAATTCCTCAATCGACGTGTCAGGGTAGGAGGTCTATCTACCTCCGAAGCATGGTGATTATTTGGCTTCGAACGATCCCCACCCAAGCACGCGAGGCTGGATGCCCAGGGAGCACTGGCACGCTCTGGGCCTGGTGGCCGCGGCCTGCAGGGTGTGACTCGCTGAGAGCACGAGGCGGGATGCCCAGGTAGCACCGGCACGCCTACAGTCGGGGCGTTGACCTAAGGAGCCCTAAATAAGGAACGAGGCCCTTTTTTCCACAAGTTGACCTTCGATTTCCGGTCGAAAACATAAGGGAAGCCTGAGGCAAGCTGTGAAACACTTAAGGAACGCGGAGCCCCTCCCCAACGAAAAGGGTTCCTTGTTCAGGGCCCCGACTGTACCTAGGTAGCACCGGCACGCCTATTGGCTGGGCGGCCGCGGTATGCAGGGTTCGCGAAAGGGGGAAGGAGCTCTTCTCTTGGGGTCTAAGAACCCCAGCCTGTCGGGTCGGGAACACGATTGCTCATCCTGGGGGGGGCGTTTGCGTCAGAGGGCACAGCCCAATGGATAATGTAAGCAAGTGTCGAAAGATACGCAAGTGGACAACCATGAACCCTACACTGCCTGCACCCAGCCACCAAGCCTCAAGAGCGAGAGTGAAACCTCGGCAACCGAATACAATAATCAACATCTGCCACGATGATAGGAGAAACCGCAGCTTTGGATTATCCGAGCAAATCACAATTTCTTCTTCTCCCATCTAGTACCTGTACTGTTCCTCACCACCCTGCCTCCATCACATCTCCTCTTCCAACTCCTCCTTCATCCCTCCCATACACCTCATCCTGAATCGTTATCCTGCTGCTGTTCCTTCTCTTCATCCACATCGCACCGACCTCCCACTACAACAAGATGGGGTCTTTCAGACCACGATGATGAGTGAGGACTGACCAGGAGATCGCAGGCGTGCGAATCCTCGTGCTACTGAGATCAACTCGATCGGTCAGCTGGGGGATGATTCAAGGCCACCATGCCTTGGAATAACAGTGCCTGATGGAAACTCGCGAATGGCACTTGTACTCAGTTATTGGAGTCACGCTGCCTCATTCTCTGCAGTCGTAACACATGCCCAAGTATTCAACTCTCTCAAACACTGGAAGACACACCGCATGCGCGACCTTGCTTCTGGCTTCTCCACCCTTCTGCCAAAATCACATGCCCATTCTGGAGCCCCGGCTCTTATGAGCAGGGCCAGCCGGGCCTCTGGAGGCCCCCGACAACCCCCAAAACGACCACGAACGGCTGACAGCCTCGATTCTCCAGGCAGAGGAGGAGGAGGCCAACTCAAGGCTCAAGGCAGGACCCGGAGGCGGTATCAACCAAGACCCAAATCCGCATCGGGCTCGTGTGCCAGAGGCCCCCCCCCCCCTCCAAGCCCTCCCGACCCCTTTGCGGCCTTTCTGCGCAAGCCGGGCCCAAGAAGCTCTCGACCCCACATGCCGTGTGGGCCTGGCGGCACTCGGTGGTTTTTTGGCTGGCTGGCCCCAGGGCCCACAGCTCGTCCGTCGCGGGTCGTTGTCTTCGACGGCCTCGAGAGGCCGAGAGTCTGGAACGGCTCTCCACTCCCCACTTTCGCTTCTTCCCTCTCCTCCTCACTCCTCTTCCTCCTCCTCCTCCTTCTCCTCCTCCTTTTCGTCCTTCTCCCCCGTCGTCGTCACCGTCCTCCTCCTCCTCCTCCTCCTTTTCCTCCTCCTCCTCCTCCTCCTCCTTGTCCTCGTCGTCCTCGTCGTCCTCGCACACATGACCTCTCCAGGGGGGGGAAGAAGTTCGAAAGCGAATCTAACCGTTTCGACGAGGACGCCTCCATACGCCCATTAAGGTCATAGACTTCCAAGAAACTAGAGCCACGACTCCTGATTCTCGTCCTCTCCAGGTCTGACCCGCCTCAGAGGGAGCCTGGCCTCTTCCCTATTCCCTGTGTCCCAGTGGGAGTCTGAAAAGGGCTCCCTGAATATCGACCTTCTGGCCCTCCTCCCCAAGTTGATACGATGGCAGGGGCGCTCATCCGCGATATAGGATGCGGTCGAATCGCCTCTTTTCTGCACACGCCTTGCCCTCCCCTCCGAACCTGCACGGAGAAGAGAAGCGGGATGAGCGACATGAGGAGGCTCGGGTCCATGTGGCCCTGCTCCGGCCAGCGCTCGCGCCCCGCGCCCCGTCGAGCCGCGCCCGGGCGTGCGCCGTCGACGAGCTTAGAGAATCGAGTTTCGGGGGTCGAGTTTCGAGGGTCAACTCTGGAGGGATCGACGGCCGATGTTTTCAGGATCGAAGATCGTCGTCGAGGGTCGAAGATCGTCTTTTGAGGTTCACGGACAGACGTGTTCGACATGCGCTCGTCCATTTTAGGGGGCATCGTGAGGCCGTCTCAAACCTTGTCTCCGCTGCTGGAAGTATCGACCATGCCTCAACAGTGCAGCGTCAGTCCGAATACCAAGCTGCAAAGGTGATGACACACCTGTAAGTACAACGGCGGCACGATCTGATTCAATGTCGGCCGCGACCTCGCTTGCATCAGAGTGAGTACCATTCTCGAACGCATATCCTGACACATCGCGAAGGTTCCTCGAACTCGTTACAGAAGGGGGGCCGATGTGCTTGCCCAGCGAGGTGATTTCCACACCGCAACAAGGAAACGTGCACGACACACGCAAACGCGAACACAAACACAAATAACAAACACACACGCACACACACACGCGAAACAAACAATTCATGGTAACGCCGCGCCTTGGTGGCCCAACCCATGGTGCATCTCGCGGTACAATTGAGGGCGACTACATGCATCGCCCCAAACCGGTTCGGATTACGCTTTGGGGCCAATTCAACAAACTCTACACCGCCAGAGAACCCCAGCCCCCCCCCCCCACGAGTGGCGACCATGGGCCGCAAGCTGAACGATGACAGGCGCGAGGTGGACCCGGGCGGAAGCTCCGCACTCGCCAACCAGACACGCATGGCCATCTAACGTCGAGGACCATGGAAGCGGCGGGCGCGAAAACAACACGCACGTCAGCACCTTCCCTTGCAACGGCATCCGAAAACGACTCCGACGACAAATCCCCGCACGTTACTGTCCCAAAGTAATACGGGCATGAACCTGACCGTCGTCATTGTCAGCGCAGGCTCTCTTTCCGTCTCCCCATCGACCTTTTCCTTGTTTTTCGCCCTGGCAAAACCCCTCTTCCCGTTCCCTGTTCTGCCTCTTCCTCGTCCTCATGCCTGCTCCCCCCATCCACGCCATCCTGGGCGAGCAACGACATATGTACATGTACGCCATCCGCGGTCTTGCCTGTACGAACGTCCGCGTTAACACGCACTCCAGGGGAAGCGAACCGCGTACGTGTACAGATGTTGCTGGCCTCTGACATCCCCCGCCAATCTATCAAGGGCGCGCGTGTCGATGTTCCTTGGGAGCGTTGCCACCGCCGCTGGCATGGGCGCTTGTCCTAATGGATGGATCGCGAAGCCGCTGGGACAACCGCGCGGACCCGGCCGTTGGGCCAACCCCGCGAGCAGCTGGGGCGCGGGAGCGAGCCGTTGGGCCAACCCCGCAGGTCTCGGGCTAATCGCGGCCGCGCTCAGGCGGGAGGCAACGCAAAAGCTAGCTCTGCCGCGAGCTGCTCCGCCTCACCCCTGGAGCTCCCCGCTCTCTTGTCGAACTCCCTAAGCGCCTCGTACGAGGACGCGGCGGCCCGCGTTCCAGGAACTCTCGCGTGGGCGGCCGCAGGGTCAGCAGATTGCGCATGGGCTCGCTGGGCCTCAACATGAGCAAGCTCCTCGCCCGTGCCTCGGCCCCGCAGTCGTCATCAACGCCTTCGGCTCCCTGTAGCAGGTCGCCGGCCATATTAGTACTGCGGCATGCTCCTCGCTCCTCGCAATCGATTCACAAGCGAGGCTCCCGCCTGAGTTTTGTTCCGCACTGATGCTTGGAGGGGCCCGAAGTGACAGCAGGTACAGTATCGCGATGACACGTTCGGATTACTTACATAAGCTGCGGACCCCAAAGGGATGGTCTCCCCGCATGAGACTTCCATGCAATTCACCCACAGACGAGGCTCCCGCCCGAGACTTCCTTCATACTCAAGCTTTAAGAGGCACAAACATGACAAGTACGAGATCCCGATGACCCTTTCGGATTCATAGCAGCTGCTGCGGGCCCACAGGGAGGGCCACCCCCGCCTGAGACTTTGTGGCAATTCACTCACTGACGAGGCTCCCACCTGAGACTTCCTCCATACTCAAGCTTGAGGAGGCCAACAATGACGACAAATAAAATCTACCAGTGTCCCATCCAGCTTAATAACATGAACTGCGGGCCCCGTAGACGGAGGCTCCCGTCTGAAACGTCCTCGCAAGTCACTAACAGACGAGGCTCCCGCCAGAGACTTCCTCCATACTCAAGCTTGAAGACGCCAACAATGCCGACAAATACAAGACCCCGATGACCCGCTCGGATTAATAACATGAGCTGCGGGCCCTAAAAGCAGAAAGGGGTTACCGCCTGAGACTCCCTCGCAAACCACTGACAGGTTTCCTCGCAATTCGAGGTTCTCACTCAAGACTTCCTCATGCTGGGATGATGGCGACTGGTGATCATGATGGGATGATGACAACGATGCTGACGATTGTGTCTGTGTGTAAATACGTGCGTGTGTGAGAGAATGCGCGTGTGGTAGCGGAGATGAGGTTGATGATGACAGTAGTGATGAGGACATGAGTGATGATCATGGCGTGATGGTGAATTTGGGAGGCCTTGAACCTCATCCCTCCCGGCCTACTCTTCTCTACATGACGGGTGCAACTCATGGGCGCCTCACGAAATTATCATCTTGTTGGCTCTTGAAAATCGATGCTAAAATCGACGCATCGACGACAAGTAGGGTCGGGCGTTGGCAGAACTGGGTTTCGTGGAACCTGGTTGAGTGATGTGTCCTGGTGGACGCCCCCCCGCCCATTCCAGTAACCGGAACTGCCGTCACCCTGAAAAGACCAGCTACGGCAGACCTGGTTTAGTGATTCTGGCCAATTCAATGGCTCCGGGGCCCTACCACTAATCGGGTTCCCTTACCTGGGGTTGTGGCTATATCCGATTGGGGCAATCTCATCGATTACCAAACGCTAAGGGACTCGAACGCCCTCAAAACGGAATTACGAGTGTACACGGCTCCCAGAATTTGCGAACGAGCTACATCACCCTCGGGACGCCCTTCCGAATGCAATCGAGCACTGCCCATGGCAGGTACGGGCTTCACCCAAACCTACTGCCGCCTTTGATGAGCAACAGAAGTGTCCCTAACCCCGTGGGAGGGGAGGGGACCTAAGCTGGGAGGGCCAGAGACATTGGGGACAAGAAGGTCCTTTCTGTTGCATGTGCACCAGACGAACTCACCAATATGTTTACCGATAGATGTCTAACAACCAGGGACCTACAGTCAAAAACCCTAATAAGGACGCGCGGTAAGGACGCAAGACCCTTGGAAGCCGAAGTTGGGATTTTTGGGGCGGCGGACGACGAAAACCTCAAGGACGCAAGAGCAGGGAAGCGCAAGGACGCAAGGGCACCCTGCGCAGAGTCGCGCGTCCTTATCATTAGGGCTTCTGGCTGTAAGGCAGGTCGCAAGCTCACTGTGCTGCTCGGACCAGGGGCTGCACTCTGCCCCGCGGGCCTGGAGCCCAAGCAGCCCTGCCCGTGCGGGCCCGCCCTCGTGGCCTCCGAGCCCCCCCCCCCCCCGCGCCTCGGGGGGCGGCCCGGCGCAACATCTGCCGACCCGGCCCCCAAGAGGAGCAGCAGAGACGGCGGCATTGACACAACCGTTTGCCAGTCCGCGCGGCTCTGCTCCGGGTGCTGCTGTAAGTGCCCCTGGCCCAGGGTGTCCTCAGGATTTCAAGGGAGGCCCCCACGGCCTCCGGGGCAACCCTCGCGAGGCCCCGAGGGCCCCAGGGATCAAACACGGCGCCAAAAGTTGGGGGCGCCTTGGGCCAGGGATACCCCTAGCAACGTCCGAAAACGTTCGCAAGTCCGCGCGGATCTGCTGGAGCGGCGCTGCAACGCCAGCCCGGCGGGCTCCACGCGCCAAGAGGGGGGTCTGGCGCCGATGCAGGAAGCCCGCGCGGACCTCCCAAAATCATACTTACCAAAATTGGTTTCCTCGCTGTCGAAGGATGGCGTCGAGGGGCCCAGAGGTCCAGGTCACGAACAAATCATGACGCCAGATGTCTGGGTCATGCCCTGCAGTCGGCGGAAGTCACGCTGCGACTCCCCGGCATGGCGGATGGCTGCGCGGAATGACTGGGAGCCCGCCTCAGAATACCGAACGGGGGATGGGGCATCCCAGACACTGGACGTCGTGATGGGGGGTGGTACTGCCCAAAATAAGGGCACCACCCTCCATCAGCAGGCAACCTTTGAGAGGTTTGGGAAGCGAGCAACGGTTCGCCTCGACAGGAGTTTCTTCTGAGCTGCCCGACCCCCACAGGTCGGCGGGCGTCGCCTCGGCATGGCGTCGGATGCCTGGGGAAGGGGGCACGGAACAGCCTCGACAAGAGAAATTCACAAATCGTTCAAACCTCGACCGCGTCCAAGCATGCACATGCTCGCCTGGCTCCTCAACCGCGCCACCGCCCCCCGCTCTCTGCCGCGCATCCTCCCGAGGTGGGCCACGCCCTTCCGCCAATCCTGGCCTGCCTCCCTGGGTCGGGCCTTGTGGAACAGGGAGTATCCCGCCAGGCTCCCGAGGAGGTACAGCTTCGGGAACTGCTGGGACAGCACAAACATGAAGCACCTGTGCTGCGGGGGGGGGCAGAGCCCTGTGCAGCTGACTGTCCAAGGGGCCTTCTTGGAACCAGTCGCATGCGTGGGGCATCGCGAACATCGAACTCAGTCGACCTTGAACGGTGGGGGCAAGCTGGAGGGGGGAGCGGCGTCCGACTGCGCGCTGCGGGGCGGGGCACTGGATGGTGTAGAACTTGTCCAGGGACTTGAGCTCCACCTGGCCCATGCGCGCGCGGGGGAGCACGGGACGACAATCGTCGCTCTGAGAAATTTGTCGTGGGGGCGCGGGAACGGTTCCTGGTGTCATCGTATAGTTCATAGAAAGACGCCTGGCGCGTGTTCTCCCTGCTCGGGCGAATCGCGGGGGGGCGCCCGCCTGATGAGAACACGCCGCGGCGGCGCCGGTGATTAGCGCCGACACCGGGCCGAGAGCTGGAGGGCGACAGGCGCGACGCAGACGGCGCCGCTTCACCAGAGGACCCCTGGCCCGACGGCGGGTGGGGCCCTGGCATTCGCATCTCCGTCCAGGCGGTCCCCAATAGTCCTTTAGCCGGCCGTGGTCCCCTGGTGGTTGCCAATCTCACGTGGCCAACCAAGCATAGTGGGCGGTTGGCCTTCCCTGGGTTCAAGGCCCGCCCCCCTTCTCGATGGTCCTGGCGAGTAGTTCCGAGATCCCGTTGAGGATGTCCGCTACTTGTCATGTTTCAGCTTCCTGGGAAATCTTCGACGTTTTCGTCGCGTCGTCCATGACGGCGTTGGGTGCTAGGTTTATGTCGGGCGTGTCCCCCTACACGGATATTTTCGACGAAAAATGAAACATACCGCAAAAAATACTCCAAACATAATCCAAAAATCGTATGGGGACTATTTTTTGCAAATGTTTGACCTTCCTAGAATATTTTGGGGGTATTTGTTATCGGCATGTTTTAAATGTTTCGTCGAAAATCCCCCTGTAGGGGGACACGCCCGACATAATGCTAGGTCATGGGGCCCACCTGTGATGGGGCGCATCGCGCGGGGCAGCGCGCGGCCTCGCCTGCCGCTCGACCCCCCCCCCCCCGATGTATTCGCATATGCGCTGCGCGCGTCGTTGAACTGCCTGGGGCCCAGCGCAGACCCCATCTGCGCGCCCTGGGCCGTCGCACCGCGGGTCCACCCGTCGGCGCACAACGCGCTGAAAAGAGGCATGTGCTGTTCTCGGTAAGGCTCTCCCTGGCGGCACTGCCAATGACCTGACTCGCTATCATGCGTTGCTCGAGTCTTACTCGGAGGTCGTCGAGAAGGTCTATCAGGTTTGCCAGTTCGTTGACACCGTCTCGCGTTTCAAGGATAGGGTGACGAACGCCATGAGGAGTGTAGATCAGGAAACCACGACCACCTCAATCATCGGCAGCATGAGTAAGTTCATCGAGAGCAGCCTTATCGAGAAATGTCGCTGGGAATGCATAGACCCGACTGCATCCTCGCTCGTGCACCGCCGGGCGGAAGCCGTGCGTCGGGGGCGCTTCGTGCTGGCAGATGCGTTCGTGCAGTCGTAACTGCTGCGC